TATCAAATTCTTGTTGGCAGAAAGTAGTTCAGGGACCGGCTTCCTTTAAACGAACTGCATTCAGCACCTCATCTGTGTAAATGCAGAGCCGTGCTCCATTAGAGACGGATTTCCACTGATCTGGTAACAGGCGTCTCTTCCACGCTTCCCAAATCTTGTATAGAACCCACATCAGAACACCCCTCGTTCTCTGCCAGTTGTATCACCAACAGATAGTCCTGGGTTAAGTATTTAATGTGGTCAGGATTCTATTTTCGGCATCCACTCATCACTCGCCTGGGATCACCTCCCTGGCTTGTGTTCTGTGACTGTACAGGGTGGTTTTGTTTTGACCCAGCTTTCCATCAGTACCCCCGCCCCGCCCCTCGGCCAGTGCTCTGTTCCCAAGATGCTTCTCCTGTATGCTCACTGGACTGCCTGACTCCAAGTCAGCTGATTTCCTTTAGTCCCTTCACCCAGATTGAGTCCCAGGAAAACAAGTCTTCTTATATTCATGCCACTAATTTGGCTACGCTAGGCTGTGAACGCCTAAGAGGTTCCCTATAGGTGACGCAGTCTGTTCCTTCCTGGGATGGGCCCCCTAAATAGCTGCAGAGTGTAGTTAGTCTATAAATGACCGTCTTCCTGTCTTTAACAACAAATCCAACTTAAGGCAAAACTCACGACCAGCCATCCCAAAATCTCAGTGGCCATGAAGAAAAAGCCACTTACTTTTCTGACAGGTCAGCAAAGGCAGCTCTGCTTCAGGCTGCGAACAGATATACGGCTGTGTTACTTCTCCCTGACCCTCTGAACCAACGGCCTCCTCCGGGAGGCATGGAAGGGGAGTGTCAGTGCCATGAAGCAGACAGAAGCACAAGAAACAAAGACCCAACACCTTGCGTTCTGCCAAGGTCTTAGCTCAGAACTGACACATTGTCACTTCTGGCCACATCCCACTGGCCAAAGCCTAAAATCTGTAGGGTAAGTCAAGGACTAGGAGGGAAGATTCACAGGCAGTGAATACAGCCTCCCTCAGCCTCCCTCACGGCTCGGTGTGTTCTTGCAGCTGAACTCTGGCCAGCGGGATGCGTGAGCACATGACTAACTTCAGGCCTTGCTCTTGTTCCACTCGCCCTGCCTTTCCCCTGCTCACCAATTGAGCAGACATTAAAGGCACAGCTGTCCTGCCAATCCTGCCTCGGTTATATGCATCCAATGTACACTCCTGGTGTTTAGCATGTCAGTTCTGGTATTGTAGCTGATACAACATTGATTCATTCAAGTATATTGATGGTTACACAAACCTACATGTGATTAAAAACTAAACATACATACACACACACACAGAGAAATGCATGTAAAATTGGGAAATAAGTGCAAGATCTTTGGGTTGTACCAATGTCAATTCCTAGTTGTGATCCTTAAAACTATAGCTTTACAAGATGTTATTATTGAGAGAAAAGAGGTAAAAGACACAGGACCTTCTCTAGTCTCAAAATGACTTGCCTGTGAATCTCCATTGTCTCAAATGATATGAGACCAATACTTGGATCCTTGGTTTTGTGCTTAGTCTAGAATGGAGGTCGCAAGATTGAAACCACAAAGGGTCACTGCGGGTAACTCAGCATGGCAGCAGCCCAGCTGCAACCAAAAATATGGCAGAGCCATTAAAAGCAATTGAGAGAGCTGCCAGGAAGGAATATTTCTTGCTTTGGGCTATGATACAAGAGAGATATGTATTAGGTTTTTTTCTCTCTCTCTCTCTTAATAATTATCCATACACTGTCATACAAACTAGGATATGTGTTAAAAATAATTACACAGGAACAGCTTGTTATCACACGTCATTTTATCGTTGCCTCTGTTATACAAGCCCAGCCTCTTCTAACCAACAGAAAAATTGCTAGTCAAGCTCAATAGCTGAGAGTAGATGACATCCCAAATGTCAGTGACTTAGTGTCCTTAGAGTTTTATTTCTTGCTCATGCAAAGTCTAGTATTGTTCACATGGGAGGTTCACTCGGAACCTGAACCCCGCCTCCAGATGGCGGGAACTGTGGAAAGGAGCGCTGTGGGGTTACAGATGACCTTATGAGCCAATCCCGGCAGTAGTTTCCATCACTTCTATCCAGATTTCATTGGCCAGAACTCAGTCACATGATCACCTCTAACTACAAAGAAGACTGGGAAAAGTAGTCCTGGAAACCCACATGACCTAACCCACACAAGGACATGCCACAGTAAGAGAACTGGCCTTCCATTAGTTGAGTGCTGAGGAAGGCTTTGAGTAGGTAGGTAATGTACAGGTTTGAAAGCTGTTTCTTTCAGCCTTGGTTTTCCATAAGGAGCCAGGTAAGCTACTGTATAAGAAGACCCCAGTCTTTACTTCTGCCTTTACCAAGCCAGGCCTCCCTCCATCCCCTTTCCCAGCCAAATAAAAGGGACAGAAGCAGAGGGGCTAAGGGTGTTCTTTTTTAAAGACATCTCCTGAAAATCACTCTTTCGCTTCTGCTCACGCCCATTGGACAGAAGACGGAGGGATCTGCTGTAACCTGGTTCGATTCCCGAATGGAAGAAGGGCTGGCTGGTGCGTGGAGTCGGCTCTAAATGCCTCTGGGCCACCAGGTGTGCTGCTGAGACCCACCTGTAATCCCAGCTCCAGGGAGGCCGAGGCATTGGATCAAAAGTTAAAAAAAAAAGGCCATCGTGGGCTAAATTGTAGCGCCGTGCCTTCAAAACAGAGCCTGCAGCCGCGCGGTGGCTCGTGCCTAAACCACCCGAAAACCAGAAGTGGAGCTGTGCCTCCAAGTGGTAGAGCGCTAGCCTGAGCGAAAGAGCCCTGTGAGTGAGCCCTCGGGTGTCTGCGTCTGCGGGGAGCCTCGGGTCAGCCCCACGCGCGGGTGCGGGGGGGGGGGGGGTCCCGGCCCCGCCCCTGGAGGTCCTCGCAGGGGCTGGCGGAGGGGAGCCCGCTGCCGCCCTGCGCCCCCTAAGTCCCGGGCCGCCCCCCAGCTTAGGACCCGAGGATGGCTGCGAGGTGGGGGGGGGGCGGGGAGGGTACTCGGGTTCTTCCCTCCGCCGTCGCTGTGCGCACGCGCGCCGTCCAGTGTCTCCGCCCGGTCTCTACCCACTCCCGTCGGCTCCAACACCCTGCGGCGCGGCGCTCATCTCCGCGGACCGGCTGCAGCGCGAATGCAGCCCCAGAATTCGGGAATCCCCACAGGACAGGTGGCCAGCACCCCCCCTCCCCTGTGTCACTCACGCCGCCTCTGCCCCGGGCACAGCTGGAACTCTCCGGGGGAGGGGACCAGACCCTGAAATCACCCGCGAGCTGCCCTGACGACCGGCACGGGGGGCTGGGAAGCAATCCACCCCACGCCCCTGCCTCCCTGGGACGCTGCGCCCCTCCCGGCCGCCCCCCACCGCACCCCGCCCCGCGCCCCTGCCTCCCCGGGACGCTGCGCCCCTCCCGGCCGCCCCCCCCATCCCGCACCCCTGCCTCCCTGGGACGCTGCGCCCCTCCCGGCCGCCCCCCACCGCACCCCACCCCGCGCCCCTGCCTCCCCGGGGCGCTGCGCCCCTCCCGGCCGCCCCCCCCATCCCGCACCCCTGCCTCCCCGGGGGCGCTGCGCCCCTCCTGCCCCGCGCCCCTGCCTCTCCGGGGCACTGCGCCCCTCCTGCCCCGCGCCCCTGCCTCTCCGGGATGTTGCGCCCCCCCCCCCCCCGCCCTCTCCCTGCCTGGCTGGCCGCCATGACTTTCCTCTGAACAGGGGTTGAGCTCAGTTCCCACCCCATTAGCGTGGTGATGGCTGTGATCCAATCCTTGTGGTCCACCAAGCTCATCCTCCAACCTCCCAGGTCCCAGTGCTGGCTGCGGATTAAGACCAGCGGATCCTCAACATTTGAAAAGACAATCCGGGACTGCGGGAAGGGTCGGGTCTGCCCGTGCGTGCTCGGGATACCCCAAGGCGCCTTTTCTACCCAGTTTGTTGGCTACCCGTGGGGCTTGGAGACCAAGTACTCTCCAGCTTCTAGGGCGGCGTGGCAGTGAGCAGAGAAGCAGAATTATTAGGGACAGGAATATTATCTGGTGATTGGTCTTGTAAAGAAAATAGACTCAGGAGAGGACCAGAAAGGCACAGTGTCTGTGCATCTCATCTTGGAAAATAATATTTATTGAGACGAACTGCAGGAAATGAAAACAAGGTCTTTTGTTCTTTTTTGCTGTTTTTGTTGTCTTTGGGAGGGCAAGGGGGGACACAGAAATGGAGGGACAAAGGGTGAACAAACAACAGTGGTACTCACTGACATTATGTTGAAAATGAACTAGACAGCTTCTGGGTGGGGGTGGGGTGGGGGGGGAGAAAACTGGAAGTGAGGGAAGGGGTGACACTACAAAATGTGCTCTTTACCTGACTTCCGTAACTGAAACCCCTCTGTGCATCGCCTTCACAATAACCATATTTAAAAAAAATACTGGAGCCAGAGACCACTTAGCATTCCGGCTCTATTGGTAAGCTCCACCTACAGTATTCTTGGACAGGTGATTTCATCCATGAGAGACTACTCTTTACCACTTGAGGTACCTAACCCTTCTATACTATCAATGATATTCCATGTCACTGCTGTCCCGTGGCCTGTGCACTCCACGTCATGATCCAGCCTCAGTAGCGGTATTACATCATCGCTAAGGTGGTGAAACCTGAGCTACTAGCCCTGTGAGGAGCGCCCTGCTGTCCTCTTTGGTTTCGACCTGCCATAAGCTACTCCACAAAGCAATGACACATGAATGGCTGTATAGTTCTCCATCTGCAGTAAGTCACAGCCTGTATACATGGAACGAACTTCTTTATTAGAGTTCCACTTTCCCTTGCTTCATGGCAAAGAGTGAGCCCTGAACAACACATTTTACAACAGACAATATACACATTTAGTGTGTGAAATCTTTACAATACATTCCAAAACATTTAACAAGATTTTTCCTCCTCCTGTTTACTCAGAGAGCTAGGGTTTATTGTTTTCTTTTGTTGCCCTTGTAATAAAAATGCCTTCTTCCCAACATTCCTATTTGATAGGAATCCCTGAATAATTTTTTTTCTGTAAGGTGCAAAGTTGTGTTGAAGATGTGTTCATTATTGAAGATACATAAATCCTTTCTGAGGCTGAACCTTTCATGTTTTCAAACATCACACATTTATCATCCACTAAGGGGGTTCATTTGAAAGTCTAGAAGTTTTACCCATTCAATGAAGTGTATTACAACAGTATCTTCTAATCAATTTGCAATTTGAGTCTCTCCTTCCTGTTAATGTTTATGCTTTTTTACAAGGAAATACAATTTTTGATTCAATGATCATAATTCATGGTCACTAACACATTTATACTCCCTGAAACCTTTCTGTCCCTGAACTTGCCTTTTCCCCCCACTGATCAAAGTGAAATTAGGATTCAAAGCTATGCCCGAATTTTCCTACATTTCTACTAACACAATTTATCCAAATAGGAATTTTATGATGGTGACTGTGATCTATAAATGAAGTCCTTTCCTCATCTGCATATTTTATGTCCAAAAATGTCTAGTTATTTAAGAATTAAAAAAAATATTCCATCTTCGTGATAGGCTTTTTATCCCCAGTGTGGACTACTTTATATTCCAAAATGTCTTAGCTGTCTTGACACTGGAGCCGTCTTATTGGCTATGATTGAGAAGCCTCACAGAATTATAGTGATCTAGAATTTCATTTATACTATGGAAACTACAAGCCATGAGTAAGGACCTCAGAAATTCTTACATTCATAAGGTTTTTCTTCCATTTGAGTTCTTTGAGAATTAGTAAGCTCTGCCTCCCACAGGGGAATCCTCATCCTGGTCCCTTCCAGAACATTCCCTCCCTCATAGATTCTCTTCTGGGATGGGCCACTGTAACTTCCCATATGCACCATATTGGAAGATTCCTCTCCCATATGGATTCTTTTATGTTTGGTAAGATTGGATCTGATATTAAATGCCTTCCCACACTCATTGCATCGATATGGCTTCTTTCCAGTGTGGATCCTTTTGTGTTGATCCAGGACAGATCTATAATTGAAGGATTTCCCACACTCACAATTATAGGGCTGATTCCCACAGTGGACACTTTTATGATTGATAAGACTTGAGTGTGAGATGTATGCCTTCCCACACTCATCACACCCATAGGGCTTCTCACCCGTGTGGATCCTCTTGTGCACTGTGAGGCCGGAGCTGTTCCTGAAGGCCTTCCCACACCAGTCACAGACAAAGGGCTTCTCCCCCGTGTGGATCCTCTTGTGTTGAGAAAGGAGGGAGCTGTAACTGAAAGATTTCCCACACTCGACACACTTAAAGGGTTTCTCTCCAAGATGAACTCTCTTATGGCTTATAAGAGTTCTGCTTGAGAAGAAAGCTTTTCCACATTCGTCGCATGTGTAGGGTGTTTTGCCAGGGTGGGTACTTTTATGGTTAATAAGGCTTGAGTGGGAGATATAGGCTTTCCCACACACATCACATTCATAGGGCTTCTCCCCAGTGTGTATTCTCTTATGAACTTTAAGGCTGGAGTTGTTTCGGAAGACCTTTTCACACCTGTCACATTCATACGGTTTCTCTCTAGTGTGGACTCTTTTGTGTTGAGAAAGGAGTGAGGTGTAATTAAAAGATTTCTCACACACATCACATTTGTACGGCTTCTCCCCAAGATGAATCTTTTTGTGGTTGAGAAGGGTTCGGTGTGTGGCAAAAGCTTTCTCACACTCGTCACACTTGAAGGGCTTCTCCCCAGGGTGTACACTTTTATGATTTATAAGGCTGGAGAGTGAGATGTAGGCTTTCCCACATTCTTCACATTTGTAAGGTCTCTCACCAGTGTGGATACGCTTATGTACTTTAAGGCCTGAATTGTTTCTGAAGGCTTTTCCACACTCGTCACATCCAAAGGGTTTCTCCCTTGTGTGAATCCTTTTATGCTGCTCAAGGGCAGAACTGTAGTTGAAAGATTTCTCACAATAGCTACATTTGTAGGGCTTCTCCCCTAGATGGATCCCTTTGTGATTTTTAAGGCTCGATCGTGAGATGTAGGCTTTCCCACACACATCGCACTCATAGGGTTTCTCCCCGGTATGGAGCCTCCTGTGGACTTTGAGGCCTGAATTGTTTCTGAAAGTCTTCCCACATACATCACATACGAAAGGTCTCTCGCCAGTATGAATCGTTCTGTGTTGAAGCAGTAGTGAGTTATAACTAAAGGATTTGCCACACTCCCTACACTCATGGGCTTTCTTCCCAGGGTGAATGCTTTTATGGACGGCCAGCCCTGAGCTGTAGCTGAATGCTTTGCCACAGACCTCGCACTTATAAGGTTTCTCTCCTGTGTGGATCCTTTTATGCACGATGAGGCCTGAACTGTTCCTGAAAGCCTTCCCACATTCATCACATTCGTAAGGTTTCTCTCCAGTGTGGATGACTTTATGCTGAATGAGGAGAGAGCTGTAATTAAAAGATTTCTCACACTCGTCACATTTATAAGGTTTATCTCCAAAGTGGATGCTTTTATGGTTCAGAAGTGTTCTGCAGGTAATGAAGGCCTTCCCACACTCGTCGCATTCATAGGGCTTCTCGCCCGTGTGGATCCTTTTGTGGACCCTCAGGCCGGAGCTGTTACTGAAGGTCTTCCCACAGGTGTCACATTCGTAGGGCTTCTCCCCGGTGTGGATCCGTTTGTGGACTCGGAGTCCGGAACTGTTCCGGAAGGCCTTCCCACACTCCCCGCACTCGTAGGGCTTCTCCCCGGTGTGGATCCTTTTGTGCTGGTCCAGCACGGAACTGTAATTGAAGGATTTCCCGCACTCGTCGCACTTGCAGTTCTTCTCCCCTGAGTGGGTGCTTTTGTGATTGATAAGGCTGGAATAGGACATGTAGGCTTTCCCGCACTCCTCACACTTGTAGGGCTTCTCCCCAGTATGGATCCGCTTGTGGACGCGGAGGCTGGAGCTGCTCCGGAAAGTTCCCCCACAGTCCTCACACTCGTAGCGCTTCTCCCCCGTGTGCATAATTTTGTGTTGAACAAGGCGGGAATTGTATTTAAAGGATTTCCCACATTCCTCACAGTTATGTGATTTCTTCACAGCACTGGCGTTGCGCTGCAGACTGGAGTGAGAGTTTCCATTAATGTTCTCCACGCATTGTCCCTGACCACGGCTTTTCTGTTCGGCCAGGGCTGTCTGGTGTGTGGTATGCTTTGAGCTCAGGTGTAAGTTTTTCTCAGATGCCTCGTCTTCCTGCTCTGTCTTTATAGGGGCTGTCTTCTTGGCTGTGCCAATCTTTTGCCTGATGGTAGTTTTGTCTTCCTTCATCCTTTTCCACTCTGGCTTTTCTGACTCCTTCTCTACCTTGCTCTCCCAATTGCAAATTCCACCAGTTTTAGATTTCTGTATGTGATCCTTGTGAAGACCTTCTGCTTTTGGCCAGTGAAAGTCTGCACTTCCATTCTTACAAGTGGATTCCTCATCCTCAGTGCCTGTCTTCAAATGTGACACTAAACCAGGAAAAGGAAAACGATACTTGTTTACTTTGTTGATAAAAAAAACTGAGAAAATAACATCAAAATCACGCATACACTTGACAAATATTTATTGACTGTATGCTACGTGATGACAGAATTTTAAGTACTTGGGATACAATGGTGGACATGAAAATACTTTTGCCTCTGTGGAATTGATGCTAAAATATTAGAGTCTTGGATTTTTAATGCACCAGAGTTCTATTCTTGCATAACAGCCTGGCATGAGGGCAAGTTGAAATGGGTTGAAATGATGCGGGGGACCAATCAGGTTGTTTAAAAAAAAAAAATCACTTTGTCATGTAAAAACAAACAAACATACAAAATATCTAAAGTATAGGGGAAAGACTAATTAGACAAAAGTTAGTCATAACTTGTTTTATTAAGAATAAAGTTATACATAATCAGCAGAAGACAAGTGTAACCAAGCAAAGAAGAAATCAGTACCTGAGCAGAGGTTGTCTGGGAGATGGTTGTGGTTATGAAATCATGAGGATAGTCACTGCAGAGATGAGAAAGAAAAACCTGCTGGTATCCTGGACTTTCCCTTCAAGGAAAGCACTCACCCTGGAAAGTGGTTAGTCAGGGAAGAAATCCAATGGAAGGGATGCTCCAGCCTGCTGAGGAATAAGCTTTTATTTCTACTTATGAACAGGTTCATCATGGGGCACATCAAAGATCAGAAGCAAAAACACAAATCATCAAGCAAAGGAAGTATAACTGGTTCCTCCATATCCAAAGGCTTTGCATCTGAAAATCCAGCCAACCATGGATCAAAATATCCATAAAAACAAAACTGGCTGTGCGCTGTTGGCTCACACATGTAATCCCAGCTACTCAGGAGGCTGAGAGCTGAGGATCACAATTTGAAGCCAGCATGGGTGGGAAAGTCTTTGAGACTCTTATCTCCAATTAACCACCAGAAAACTGGAAGTGGAGCTGTGACTCAAAGTTGTTTAGCACTAGCCTTGAGCAAAAGAGCTCAGGGATAGCACCCAGGCCCTAAGTTTAGGCCTCATGACTGACAAACAACAACAGTAATAAAAACTGCACGTACACTCAACATGTACAAGCTTTTTTTTTTCTTCTGGTGAATTCTTAAACAAGACAGTGTAAGAAAGATTTACACTGTATTTAAACTGTTTTAGGCATTGTAAGCAATTTAGAGAGATGCGTACCTTCTAGATATGCGTAAGTTAACACACAACTACTCTACCATTTTATATTGGCAAGTGCAGCAGATTTTGATATTTGTGGGATGGATCCCAGAACAAATCTCTTGGAGACACCAAGGGATGACTGAAATCCTGCCTAGGTTCAAATATTATCTAGCTACTAATTGACCTCTTTGTACAGCAGTTTCCCCATTTACAAAATGAAATCAATAGGGTTGTTATTAAGTAACAAATGTAAAAACACTAAAAACAATGTTCTTTGATGAGCACTATGCTATGATTCTTTATTTTATTATTTATCAGAGTATTGAAGCGATAAGGCCATGAAGGCTGTGCCTTTGTGATGAATCTATCAATGCCATTATCATGGAAGTTCTGCTCTCTCCCTTTGTGGTTCTACCATGTGATGTTTCCACCACAGGAGAATGACACTTGAAAGGCCCTTGCTAGATAGCAAAGCCTTTATCTTGTACTTCTCAGCTTCTAGAACTGTGAGAAATAAATTTGTCTTAAAACAATTTGTAACAATTACCTAGATTGTGGTATTTTGTATATAGCACGGTGTGTACACATATGCACACACCCCAGAAAAACCAAAGTCAAGTATTCTGTATCCTGCCACTTAAAAAGATTCTCTGGACACAAAAACATGAAATTGGCTATGCTCACTCACCTCACTGCCCCTGTACTCATTGATCCTCAGCTGTCATTTCCCTTTGCCTTGCTAATTCTATTATTTAATTTTTGTGGTGCTGGGGAGTGAACCCAGATCCTTGCAAATGCTAGGCAATTGCTCTACCACTTCAGCAATACTCCTGGCCATTTTTGTGTTTGAAACAGTATCTCATTGCTTTTGCCCGGGCTGGCCTCTAACTTGCCTCTGCCTCGCAAGTAGTTGGGACTGCTGGCCTGGGCCGTGATACCTACCCTAATTCTTAGTTCCCTCCTATCCTTTGGGACTGTTTGATTGGCTGCTGATTGGCTAATCTGCATGAAATTATTAATTTTCACTTCTTCCCTCTTGATCCTAATCAGAAATCAAAAGTCTCCCAGTTGTGGCACAACTTAATATTCTGTTTGGGGAGGGGCACAGAGTTCCATCTCTTGGTACAATTCAATCAAAAACAGGCAGAACAACCCAAAACAGCACTGGCATAATTGTTATTAGCATATAAAGGCAATCAAGAGAATGAAACATAATACTCAGCCTTATAAATACTAATTCCTGGTATCCTTGCAGGTATTACAGAAGAAAGTTAGGTTTTGATTTGATTAGACTTGTTTTTTCCCCCCTCAGGCCCTACACTAGTCTAGGATTAGGAGATTAGACAAGGCCTAGCCTTTCAAGGAGCCTGAAGACTAGGAGTGTCATGAAAACACAAAATGTGATTTAAAAAAAAAAAAAATGACAGAGGCAAACACCAAACACTGATAAGGGAAGGGGGTAGGGCTAGACTCTGGGCAGGAAGGATTAGAAAGAGTTTTGGGACTACAGGAGTGGGCATTCCTTAAGAGGGAAGAGCAGATGTAAAGCAGCTAATGCTCACCACCCTTATGACATCTGGACTAGTGAATTTAGCTAGCCAGGCAGTCATGAGGGCACCCGTGTCACATCTAAGGGGTCCTGATGTGATGTGAGATCTTTAGGCAAAGCAGTGGTGAATGTGCTGCTTTTATAGTTAAATAATTTCATTTATTTTATTGTTAGGTGTTAGCCATCATTTTCTATGAAGGGTCAAACAATAAATATTTTAGTCTTTGTGAGCCATTTAGGACTGCTGCTTATTATTTTTAAGTATCTTGGAAGATATTTAAGCTTATAAGCTATACAGAAACAGAAACAGGCCCAGTAGTTTGCCAACTGCTATGAGATGTATCAAGAATAGGTTTTAGAGTCATGATAAGGCTTCATTTTAACAGGGTACTTATTGAGCTCAGTGTGCTTTTGTAATGTAATGCTTTATTATACAGTTTGCCATAAATATTTCTATAAAAAAGATAGTATCAAGGAATTGGAGTTAATTTAGGATAATGTGACAATGGTATTGTAGTTGTTAGAAGTATCTTTAAGTGCCAAATGAAGTATGCTAAGGTGAAATAGCATGATGTCTGGAATTTACGTTAAAATACTTCAACCAAAAAAAAAAAAAAGATATGATGAAAAATGTGTATCAGTGTCTTGAAATTGTTGAAGCTTGAGTGATGGGTATCTGGAAGTCCATTATACTCTTCTACTTTGCTGTGTTTTTTACATAAGAAAAATTTCTTGAAGTATCACTCATATTAGCAGCAGTAGGAAAATGAATTGAGAAGAGACAAAAACAAGACAGGAATTTCTGGAGGAAGTTACTACAAACCAGTCTAGAAAACTGATGATGTGGCTGTCATGCACCCCCTATGACACAGGAAATGGAATCATTCCAAAATCACAACTCTCAAAAGAGCCAGAAAGATTTAAATTTCCCTTAAGTCTTAAGGGCTACATGGAAATCAAGTCTTCAAGAGTCCTTAACCCTAACAGCTTGTTTGTATCAGTCCAAAGTCTGGCACAGAATTTTCTCCATTCCTTATAATTGATATATGATCCACAACCTCTGGGCATTTCTGTGCTTATTCACATTCTACTATCATTGCCTGTAAAAGTACACTCGGACAGTTAAGAACCTTCACTTAATTCCTGTCTCTACTCCAGAGAGGATCACTGTTTTTTAAAGAGTTTAGACAACTCAAGAGAGAGTAATTATGGCTCACTCTGGCTGAAAATCTCTATTCACAATGCAACAAGAAACAGGTGCAACATGCTGGCATCCAACCATATTCCCCAAGACAACCTTAATGGGTTTATATCATGGGCCTATGGAGGAAGAGAACTGATCTACAGACAAAAAAAGTCTATGGTTTGTTTTGAGATTATTTTATGAATATCAGGACTGTATGTAAATGGCTAACAGAAATAGATTCTATTGCCGGGCACCGATAGCTCACGCCTGTAATCCTAGCTACTCAGGAGGCTGAGATCTGAGGATCAAGGTTCAAAGCCAGCCCGGGCAGGAAAGTCCATGAGACTCTTATCTCCAATAAACCATTAGAAAACCAGAAATGGCTCTGTGGCTCAAGCAGAGAGCGCTCGCCTTGGGCTGAAGAGCTGAGGGACAGCACCCAAGCCCAGAGTTCAAGCCCCATGACCGACAAAAAAAAAAAAAAAAAAAAAAAAAAAAAAATATATATATATATATATATATATATATATATATATATAACACACATACATGGTAGTGGATAAAAGATTTCTAGTCACCCAGAAAATTAAGGTGAGTAAAGAAGATTCTGAAAGGCCAGCTGAGAAATTTTCCTGAAGGGGCAGAGATTGGCTTGAGAAAAGTCATTGAAACAATGACTATTTGGTCAGAGTATGATCAAACATCATAAAAACAAGTCTCAGTTGGAAAAGAATAAGTTTTTAACTTAGTTTTATTTATTCCTTAAAGACTGTATGTGATTATAATAAGAAGTTGGTATATGTAACAATGTGTCAGAGACTGGCTGAGTTCATGTAAAAACAAAAATTGTTTTATTAGATCCTTTCTTTAAAAATGCTTACACAATGTTATTCAATGTGTCATTGTTCAAGGTAACAAAGAAACTGGAAACAATCCAAATGTTTCCTAACATGGCTTAAAAAAAAAAACTTGGGTTATAGCCCAAATGCCAAAACAATGGCCAATCCAATACCACAACTTCTGATATGTAGAGATCTGCGAAACAGATTAATCAAAGGCAGACTGAGGACCACATGTCTGAAAGGGGGAGGGGAGGAGGGGGGGGAGAAGGAATGGACTAATTCCATTTAGATCTCCCAGTATTTGAATAAAGAAATTCTGGAAGGATACACTCCAGTCAGCCTACATGTGTTGACCTAAGAATAAACAGAGCCTAGGAAATCGACAAGAGAAAAATTCTTTCCACCAACTTTTCGTATATTTTAATATGCAGAACCTTCCGAAGAACGTATTACATGTCCAAAACATAATTGTAAAAAAAAAAAAAAAGGGTGGGGGGGGGAACCCAACAGGTTTCCAAAAAAAGCAGCGAGTCCTCTGGCGCTTAGGTCTACGCGTCTCACAGCAAACACACCCGGGCCCCGTCCACCGGCTGCTCAACTTTCTTCCACTCTGCACCCGGCACCTAGCTAGCGGGGACCGTCTCCGCAGGCCGGGGGGGGGGGGGGGGCGGCCCCCTCCAGACGCCCCTGATTGTCTGTACACAGGTGAGCACCCCCACACCAAGGGCAGGACCCGAGTAAGCGCCCCCATCCAACACCAACTCCCCCCCCCCAGCCCCGACAGCCCCGAGGCTCCCATTCCATCAGAACCGGCCGGGGGGGGGGGATGGAGCTGGGGGAGGGTAAGGTGCTAATATTCGGGGTTCTACCCCCCCACCACCACTTCCGCACCCGAAAGGCCAGCAGACAGCCGCGGAGGGGCCCGGGCAGCCCTCACGCGCCCCCGGCCCGCTCGGGCAGCGGGACTTGGGGGGTGGGGGGGTCCCCGGCCCGTGGGCCTCGGTCTCCCCTCCCCCCTCCCCCCGCACCCCGGAACGCGCCTCCCGGACATGTGCGTAGGGAGGACACGCTTGCTCCCCAGTTCCCGCCCGAACCCCGAGGGAACCCGGCCAGAAGGGGAAGGGCGTGGCGGGCAGGGGTGGGGGGCCGAGGGCGCGCGGGCGGCCCCGGACTCACGTACTGGCGGTGGCGGCGCCGCGGAGCCCGGCCGCCGGGCGGGACAAAAGCGCGGACGGCCCGACCGGAAGGACCCGCGCCGGAGCCCCCACCCCCCCCACCCCGGCAGGGCACTTCCGAGTCCTCTCTAGGACGCTGGAGGACTGACTCTCGTTGGCCTGGCCTAGTTTCGGACACGTGACCCGCCGCTGGCCCAGGGTGGGAAGTTCGTCCTATTGGCGCGGTGCATGCTGGAACTACGGGCTGGCTCCTGTTCTCCTGGACGGGTAGGGAGCCTTAATGCTTAACTGTCTGCGTATCTCAACACACACAGTTGGTTACTGAGTTAAATCAGAGGATGTTCCTTGGAGGTAGTGCTGGAAGTCTCCAAAGTACACAACCCAGACATGGGTGTTTTTCCATTGAAGAACATAAAAATATATAGACAGCACCTAACAGCCATTTTCGCTTCTGTATCTTTGCTTGCTAAAAACTCTGCTAAAACCTTGAGGAGTGGAGTGAAAGAGGCAGAAAACTGGACTGCCCTCATCAAAGTAGGCAAGCACCCCTGAATGAATTTATTAAAAGGCATGGAGTAACATTAATGCTTAATGAAATAGAAATTAGAAGTTATGATTACTAACCGCTTGTTTTTGCTTCTGTACGAATTGCTTTGTGCTAGATGATTTTATGGTTTTTGTATGATTTTAACTGTGACTGGTTTTAGTTACTCAGTAGTGGAATGTCAGCCTGGGAGCCTAGAGTTGCTTAGTAAAAGACTTCAAAGGGTTTACAGCCCTGACCAACGGCACAAAGTCCTCAGAATTATCCCCCACAGCTGCAACGCCCAGGCAGTAAGGCCCTAGGGAAGAAATATAATGTTTTGAGAAACCTAAGCAACTCAGTTTTTGTTTAACACTCCATCTCAGTTCTTGACTCGTGACCCACTTTAGCCCCAATGCTAGGAATTTATGACAGAAAGCCATGCACAATTCTTGGAGCCATAGATGGCGTTTGCTTAAGGCAGGTGTTAGCCACCAAGTGGTGTTGCCCCCCAGCCACCTAGGACTAAGAGTTTCTGACCAACTGGTACTTCAGAGCCCAGGGCGAGACATGCCATGCATTCTGTTGGTCCAGGTGTGACTCATAACCGTTTTCGGTCAAGCTATGGACCAAGGACATTTTTCTGTAAAGGTCAACCAATCATATTTGCCCAGCTTAGCTTGCTTTAAATGTTAACCAATCATGTAATTTCTTATGTAAAAATTCCTTAAAGTTGTTCAATACTATAAAAACTGCGCTGATTCTATGCTCAGGGCCTCTTAGCATCACCGGTTACTGTGTGCGCGGAGGACCAAGCTCGAGCTTGCAATGAACCAGCTCTTTGTTGCTTACATTGATCGTGGTCTCTGGAGGTCCCTGAATTCCAGTATAACACCATCAAGGGTGATTGGTGTTGAGAAAAGGGATCAGAAGTTTGCCTTCAGTTTGCTTTAAGAAGAGTCACACACACACACACACACACACACACACACACACACACACACACACACACACCCTTGTTTTGGACACCTATTTTATTTTAAATCACTGTTGCTGTTATACTATTTTATTAATTGTGCCCAAGGATTCTAAGATTGATCTGTTTACTAAATTTGAGGGCATAATGGCAAAGATAAGCCTCTCTTTAATAAAGTGGGATTTTTAACCAGATGTCCTTTTTAAGAAGTTTTGAGATGTTTTCCTCTACACTTTCATGATCAAAGGAGTTTTTACCAGTTCTCTCTCTCTCTCTCTCTTTCTCTCTCTCTCTCTCTCTCTCTCACACACACACACACACACCAAGGATAAGTGTCTTTCTCTTTAAGCTATTCTTACTTTCCTTTCCTAAGAATGGTGGTCATTTGAGCAATGTCAGAGGAAAAGAGTTGTGTTTTGTTGAAACTAAATGTTGCAGCTTAGGGAGTATAATACAAAGAAAACAGTGTTTGTGTGCTTTTAATCAAGCTGTTCATTAATACAATGTTTATCTCTGAATTCTTGGTCCCTGTTTCCCATGCCTCATTTCCCTTATCTATCCTGCCTCAAACCAAGTCCTCCTTGTTCCAGCTGGGAACCTCTAGCAACGCAGGAAGTACTGCACCAGCAAACATTTTTGCCAGTTTTAAATATGAACAATAGGGAATTAAGAGCACTAAGAAGATTAATTGGAGAAACATTAAAAACAAAGAACATGAAAATGACATTAACCATCACTACCATTATCTCCCATTGCAGCTGGATGAAAACAAAACAACAAAATAAAACAGTAGGATATAAACACTGGAAAATGGGTATAACTATACTATTTTAAGATAATACAGTTTTATTTTCATAAATCCAAAGAGAGTTAACTTGCAAAGCTAGAATAAATGATAAGAGAATTTTGTAAGGTACATAGTTTCAGGATTAACACAATGGAAGAGTTTCTTATGTACAAACAACAACTGGAATAATAGAAAGACTTCATGTACAAAGAAATAAACAAGCAGAAAAACAAATACCCTGAGATAGCACATGGATGACTGGGAAGCAGCCAGAAAATAAAGCTGGAATTGCATCTAGTTCTTACACCAGGATAAGCCAGATGTATAAGACAAATATCACCCAGCTCTGATGGCTCATGCCTGTAATCCTCGCCACTCAGGAGGCTGAGATCGAGGTTTGTAGTTCAAAGCCAGCCCAGGCAAGAAAGTCCATTGGACCCTTATCTCCAGTTAACCACCAGAAAACCAGAGGTGGAACTGTGGCTTAACGTGGTAGAGTAGTAACTTTAAGCAAAAAGAGCTCAGGGACAGTGCTCAGGTCCTGAGTTCAAGCCCCACAACCAACAACAACAAAGAAATGTAAAATGCATGCAAGAGTCAGGAACACTGGTGTGTGTCTGTAGTCCCAGTCACTTAGAAGGGTGAGGCTGCCTGCATCCAGAGATTAGAAGCTAGCTGAGCAATGTGATAAACCCCGATATAACCCTGTTTCAAATAAATGCACACACATGCACGCATGCATGCACACGCACACACACACACACACACACACACACACACACACACACCATCACTGCTGCTATCCTACCTATAAAAATATCAGGGAAATTTCTCTGATCATATCTCTTTTCTTTGATCATTTTTTGTCTCATTACAGCACAACATCCAGAAATTATAAAACTAAAGAATACCCTATTCAAACACCTAAAATACGTTTGTGTATGGCAAAACTACCATAAGGAAATCTCAAAACTTAAGTGGCTACCTGAGAAAAAGAATATTTGCTTCTTATATCATAAAGGGAGCATTTCCCTGACCCACACAACAAGCTATTCCAAGAGGAATATAACTCCTTGGGAAGATGGGTTAACAGAGAAGTATATGCAAATGACTCCTAATAAAAGATGCAAAACCCAAACTACACAGAAATACCAAGATTCTTGCATCAGAATCACAGAGATGCAAAGGTTGGATAATATGCGATGGCAGTGGTGACTCTCAGAGATAACTCCTCAGAATGTATCGACATGCATGTATCCTTTACCATAACAATTCTGTTCTAGAAAATTCATCATGTGGGTGCACCCACACTGCTATAGCTCGATTCTGAAATATACTCCAAAGCCTCATGTGTTGAAGACTCCGTCACCAATTCCCAGCACTACTGAGAGGTGACAGAGCCATTAGGGGGTGGGGCTTAGTGAAAGGAAGTTAGGTCATTGGGGGCTTGGCCTCAAAGGGAATATTGGATCCTCAACCCCTTCTTGTCTCTCTGCTGTGTAACAAACTTTACTCCACCGCATGCTCCCACCATGATGTACTACCATGCTGCCACGGGTACAGAACAGGACCAGCCAATCATGGACTGAAACCTCTGAAGCCATAGGCCAGAACAAACCTTTCCTTTCCTTTCAGTTCATTTATCTCAGGTATGTGTCACAGTGACAGAAAGCTCTATTACCCACTTGTGAAAAGGTGTATGAAAAGGTGGCTGACTGCAGTATTTTTAAAGCACAAGATTAGTGAGTTAAGGAATTGATTCAATTATTGCACATCACATGTCTTAGCTTGTCAGGCCTGTCATAATAAAGTACCATAAAACTAGATGGCTTAAACAAGTGGCAGGTGTTGTTTTATATTTTTGGAGACTTGGAATCAGAGATCAAGGAGTCAGCAGGGTTGGTTTCTCCCAAAGGCTGTGAAAGAGAATCCATTCCATTCTTCCTGCTGAGTTTCTGGGGGTATGATGGAAATCTCCTGCATTCTCTGACTTGTGTACATCTAGCCTCAGTCTTTTCCTTCATTGTCACAATCTCCCTGTGTTAGTATGCATGTGCCTTTCTCTACCTTTTACGAAGAAACCAGTCACCTTGACTAAGCTACTCAAGTATGATCTTGACTTAGCAAATTGAAATGTCCCTATTTCCAAATAACGTTACATTCTGAGGTATTTGGGTTAGGATTTCGATGTATGCGTTTTGAGAAGAACACAACACAATTCAACCCATTCACACACTATGTTCCAAGAGGGTGAAGAACAGGGAGAGGAGGAGGAAGAAGAGGAGGAGGAGGAGGAGAAAGAGGGAGAGGAGGAGGACGAGGACGAGGAGGAGGAGGAGGAGAAGGAGGAGGAGGAGGAGAAAAAGAATGAGCAAGATTTTTGTGATACAAGTCTGAAGTCCCAGCTACTTGAGGCTGAAACAGGAGGAAGATCGCTTGAGCCCAGGAGTTTCGAGGCTATCCCCGGCAGCTAGTGAGACCTGGTCTCTGTTAGGTCCACTTGGGAAAAATAGCCCCTTTGCTTGTTCCCCTTCCCTAGAATCCCCAGCCCAGCATTTTAACCCAGGTACCTGTAGCACCTCAGGGCAGTGGGAGAGTCTCCCGGGCTCTGAGATCATTGCTGTGGCCACACCTCCTCTCCACCCTCTCCCTATATAATCAGTCTCCATCACTCGCTCCCTCCCCTTACATGCCTGCACGCCACACCCTTGCACCTCAGACTGCAGGCTGGCAGTTTGCTCTCCCCTCCCCCGGGCAATAAACCCTTTTCTGCC